ATCGGTACGAGAAATTTGTGCAAATATTCGTAGGGGCGCACATATTTGTCGCTGGTAAAAGCCGCGTCTCAGATATTTGTTAGCGGCCAAATATCTGCCAACTGAATATTTGAAGAATATTGGGATGTGTGGACGTGTGCCGCGTCCCATGCCTCAGGACGCAGGGGGGGGAATACTCAAATATCTCGCAAATATTTGGTGGTGTACATAGCGCTATGTAGCGCTGAGACTAAATATTTGGCAAATATTTGGGAGGGGGGGTACCCTCCTCCCCTCGCTCATACATACATCCCAAATATTTGGGGTTCACCTCGAATATCTGGGAGGGGCATCCCTCCAACCGTCTCAAATATTTGGAAGGGCCACTATAACATTTGGGCCAAATAATTCGCGTTTTACTATAACTATAAGGATCAAAAAATTTATCTAGTGTGTACTGGTGGCTGGCCATGGTGGCAGCTTCGGGCGACGCCGAGGGCATCGAGCCGACGTACGCAGAGGCCAAGAAGCGCCCGGACTGGCCCAAGTGGAAGGCCGCCGTTCAGGCCGAGCTCGACTCCCTCACCTCCAATGGCACCTGGCACCTCGTCGAGCGACCAACCTTGGGCAACGTGGTCGACAGCAAGTGGGTCCTGCGCGTCAAGAAAAACTCGGCCGGCGAGGTCGACAAGTACAAGGCGCGTCTTGTCGCGCGCGGCTTCACCCAGATATACGGCGTCGACTACTACGAAACGTTTGCCCCCGTTGCCAAGCTCTCTTCTTTCCGCCTCATTCTTGCTATTGCTGCTCGTAACGGCTGGCCTGCGGATTCCTTCGACTTTAACTCGGCTTACCTCAACTCCAAGCTCGACGAGGATGTCTACCTGGAGCAGCCACCGGACCATGCCATTGCCGACCGCCGCAAATACGTGCTCAAGCTCGATAAGGCCCTCTATGGATTGAAGCAGGGAGGGCGAAAGTGGTATGAGACCCTTTGTATCGCTCTCGCTGACCTCGGTTTCAAGCGTGCCGAAGCGGACTACGGGGTTTTCTTCAAGCACGAAGGCCCTCACCTCATCATCCTCGCTATCCATATGGATGACTGCCTCATCACTGGCGACTCCCGGCTCCTACTCGACACCTACAAGCACCGCATCGGGCAGAAGTATAGGCTTACGGACCTGGGACCTGTCAGCTGGTTACTCGGTATCAAGGTGTCGCGCGACCTCGAGGCTCGTACTCTTGCCCTCTCTCAACATTCGTACATCAACGCGATCATCACCCGGTTCAACTTTGATGATCTGAAGCCCATTTCAACGCCAATGGACACCCATCTACAGCTCTCGAAGACCCAATGCCCCGAAAGTGCCTCCGATGTCGTGCGCATGAAGCGTGTCCCCTATCGAGAGGCGATCGGAGCCCTCATGTACGCTGCCATGGGCACTCGACCGGACATCGCGTTCGCGGTCTCGACCCTCGCGCAATACTCGGAGAACCCCGGGTGGACGCACTGGGAGGCCGTTAAGAGGATTTTTAGGTATCTCTTGGGAACGAGAAACCTCTCACTTGTGTATGGCGGAGACAGGAACGGATTGGAGGGGTTTGTGGACGCAGATGGAGCCTCGCAAGAGCACAGGCGGGCCATTACCGGGTACGTCTTCATTGTCGACGGTGGAGCTGTTTCGTGGGCCTCGAAGAAGCAAGAGCTTGTGACGCTTTCGACCGCCGAATCTGAGTACGTCGCCGCAACACATGCCGCAAAGGAGGCGATCTGGTTGCGGCGCCTCATTGGCGAGGTCTACCGCCCACTTTCCGAGCCGACGACCCTCCGTAGCGACAACCAGTCTGCCATCGCGCTCACCAAGGACGGCTCCTACCACGCCCGTACCAAGCATATCGACATACGGTACCATTTCATTCGCTACTTGATCGAGGCTGGCAGCATCCGACTTATCTACTGCCCAACGGACAAGCAAACAGCTGATATTCTCACGAAAGCACTCCCCTCCGTCAAGGTCAAGCATTTCGCAGTAGCGCTGGGTCTCGCTTCGGCTTGAGGGGGAGTGTTGGAATGGCGCGATTGTAGCGCGATCCCGTCGCAAGCCTCGTGCGACACTGCGCGGCTACGGAACACCATCGGGATTGATGCGCCCTGTGGCGCGGCCCATTTGCGGACCCTTACGATACGGTGATTACATTACTTACTTACTCTATATAAGCTGTCGGACCTGTACCCGCTCACCTCAGTCCCGCATACCGCGTACTGAGGTGAGCCGCCCATATAGTCTCCCCGCTGGACTCCACTGATGTCGTACTGTAGTGCTATTCTATAGGTACTTACATTAGTAATATATCAGTCCCGCATACCGCGTACTGAGTGCTATTCTATAGACTGAAGACTTGCCCCTTGTTCCGACGCCTCTTCCAAATCAGAGCCATGACCTTGGTTGTCAGTCACCAGTACAGATGGTGATCCAGTTCCTGGATGGGCTGAATTAGGAGGTAGCTCGTGCGGTCCAGCACCGGCGCGCATCCGAAATGGTGCCTTCCACAGTCGTCTGCGCTTCATCTTGTAGTAGTTGATGAACAAACATTGGTCGTTACGAGGAGTGGTATCTCCTGCAGGTCGGGTGCTAGAGCCAGGGTAGGTGATCATAGGGACGACGGGGTTTGGGTTCAGTGATCGTGGCCCAAACCTGTAGTAGTCTGTCGCGAGCGTCTGGTTCTGGAGTTGAATTGAGAGACCGACGGTGGCAAACGTCGCAAAGCTTCCGGCGATATGGCTCTCGACATCGCGGAATGCGTCATCTTGGAAGGCGGCAATGACCCACTGTGTAGTCTTGATCGTACTGCAGACAAAAATGATTTCGTGGTCTTCGAGCTGGAGAGCCCATCTGCCCGAAGAGTTAGCAAATTCGCGCCAGCTTTTGAAATTCTCCTTCATGTATTCTATGATATGTCCTCTGATTCAATGTCTTTGGTGAATCCGGGAGATGCAAGTAGTGCAAAGGCGCCCGCAGCAGTCGTCGATTTGAATCGGAAGCCTGCGCCAAGACTTGCCGGAGTCGCACTGCTTTTTATCATGAGTAGTGACTAGAAGGCGACTAGAATAATATGGGAACTGGACGTGTAGCACTCACAAAGTGCCGCCTTGGATGTCAGATGAGGCCTCGAGATTGCACACGCCGTGGCTGGAAAGCCGCAATTGGTGGATCTCATACTTTTCATCGATAGAGATATGCTCTGGACCGAACATCCTGAATCCTGATGGAACCTTTTTTGCAGCGTTGAGGGGGTGTTCCGCAGGTTTCATCGAGTGGGATAGGGGGCGGAAACCGCCATTCTTCAACCATCCTACATCGCCAATAAGTGTCTCCCGTCTCTGCATGCTGGGTTCCGGGATCCACAAGGGGTGGCCGTAGCATAGAGGCCAAAGCTGTTTGGCGTAAAGATCCCAGGCAGTCCGAGAGGTGTCACAGCCAACGAGCTGTGCCACCAGATAAACAAAGACAAAGCTTACTGGTGAAGGGGTTGGTGCTGAGAGCGAAGCAACCACAAGTGACACAGCAAGAGATGATGCAAAGATGTAGATTCCCTAGACTAGAAGGGGCAGTGAGAGGTAGGGCTGCTAGCTACCTACAGGAGAGATGGGTGATCGACGAGAAGATCAAGTCTGAGGTTCCCTGCCTCAGACTCCCTACTATATATACTAATACAATGGTGCACAGACCAGGTACCTATTGACCATCGTTTGGTCAGAGTTCTCTGCCTCAT